TGGGGGAGGGGTGGGGGGTGGAGACAGCTGGGCAGGACGGCCAGGCCTGCAATGAGGGTTGCCTGGAACTTTCTGACCCTGCAGGCCAGGGGCATCTGGGGCCTGGTCGTATTTCACAGGCTCTGTGAGCGTTGCTGGTTTTATTAAGCTTTTATTGTCTCTTTCTCAGTGGTGCCGAGGCTGCCTCACGGCCTCCAGGCTCCGGGGCTGATGTGTGTGGGTGGCGAGGCCACAGGTGGGGGCGGGCAGGGCCAGAGTGGGTCAGTGGGTGGAATTGCTTTTGGCAGCAGAGTGCAGGTGGCTAAAAGGATGGGCTCTGACACTGATTCCAGAAGTTCTGATCCAGCGCCACCCCTGCAAGCGGCCTTGTAGGGCGGGGAGGTTGGATCAAAGAGGACATACATTAGTAAAGTGCCTGGCATGTGACACACAGCAGTGCTCAGTGGGTGATAAACTCCCCGCCAGAGCCCCTTGCAAGGGGCCTGGAAGATAGTACGCCCTGGGCCTTCCGTTTCCTTCCACGGCCTGGGCCCACCAGGAATGGTCACAGAGTCCTGTTCATGCCATCATTTCTTCCCTCCCCATGGGTGGAGGAAGAGACACTCTGGGGAACGAGCCCTGGGCTGAGATCCAACAGCCTGAGTCCGTCCCCAGAGCACCCGGGCACACCTGGGGGGAGGCCAGAGGCTACGCCAGCTGCTGAGGGAGCCATGGGGACTGGGGAGGTGAAGAACGGTCCTGGGGCACCTGCGTCTCAATCACCCAAGGAGGTGCTTTGCCCACAGATTCCTGGGCCCCCTCCTCAGTGTCCGGTCTGGTGTCTGGTCCTGGAATTTGCATGTTAACGAGTATACGCAGGCCGGGCACAGCGGCCCACGCCTGTAATCCTAGCATTCTGGGAGGCCGAGGTGGGAAGATTGCTTGAGGTCAGGAGTTCAAGACCAGCCTGAGCAAGAGTAAGACCCTATCTCTACTAAAAATAGAAAAATTAGCCAGGCATGGTGATACATGCCTGTAGTCCCAGCTACTCAGGAGGCTGAGGCAGGAGGATCTCTTGAGCCCAGGAGCTGGAGGTTGCAGTGAGCAATGATGATGCCACTGCACTCTAGCCTAGGTGACATGAGTGAGGCTGTCTCAAAAAAAAAGCAAGTATACCCAGATACTCTGGCTCACATTAAAGTCCAAGGGCCTCTGTGGCAGAGAGAGTCTGCTCCAGCCGCCTTGTAGACCTGCCCACAGCAGGGGCTCTTGCCCTCTAAGAAATTCACGATGTTCATGCTGGCTACTGTGATTCAGCAAGGCGGGTGGTGTCACCATCCCCACTTTACAGATGAGGAAACTGAGACTTGCCCAAGGTGCCTGGCTAGTGGCAGTGCCAGGGCTTGAATCCAGGTCTGGTGACAGAATGGTCTATGCTAGTTCACCCCCTGCCCTTGAACTCTGGCCTGCTTGCTCTCAGACTCTGATTTCCCTCTGAGCACCAGGGGGCCAGTTCTGTCCCCCCGAGCCCACTGGAGCGAGGACACGCGGAACGGGGAAAGTGATAGTGGCTGTTGTGCCCATTAATGTTGGATTCCTCTGGTGTCGGCCGGGATATTTCCTCGGGTGATATATTGACCCGAGCAAAGCTTGTTTGCCTGATATATATTGAGCTGTTGGGTTTACGAGTCAGCGCCCACAGTTTCCTCACCAGCTGTCAGCTCGGGGAGGCCGGCCGTCCTTCATCCTCTCCGTCTCTGCAGCCCGCTCTCCTCTGAGAGACGGGGGCTTGACAGGCTGGCCGCCGAGCCCCCCGCACCCCCACTGCACCCCCACCTGGGCCCACAGTCAGTAAGCCCAGCTCTCCTTTGCAGACGGGAATGGTCGTGTGAATTTCCTGCCAGCAAATTGAACCAACAAAGACCATGTTTCTTGGTGGGGCAGCAGGCGTGATGGGGGCAGGAGCAGGTGCCTGAGTCAGCCACAGCCACATAGCCAGGTGTCCCCAGGGCTGGGGCAGGGAGGATGGGGTGGCAGATGTAGGATCTTCTTGGTGCGGGGAAGGGTCGGACAAGCGTGGAAAGTCACCCAGCCACACCCTTCCTCTATCAATTTGGAGATTGTCCTCTGGCTCTGCTGCCATTGTCATCTGAGATCCTGGATAGGGCTTGCGACTTCTTGACAGAAGGTTCTGGCAGGCCCTGGGACCCAGCTGCGGGAATGAGGCTTTCTGTTTCACACCCACTTTTCTTCTGGGGTGCTCCATGCCCCATTGTCGTAGCAGGGGCTCCCCAGAGAAAAAGAACCAATAGGATATAAATATACACACGTGTACACACACACACATGCAGGGAGAGAGATCTATTGTGAGGAATTGGCTCACGTGATTACGGACGCTGAGAAGTCCCGATATCTGCAGGCAGCAAGTCGGAGGTTGGGAGAGCCCGAGGTGTAGCGTCAGCCGGGGCGGAGGGCCTGGGGACCAGCAGGGCCCGCGCTGTAAGTCCCAGTCCACAAGCTGGCAGGCTCAAGACCCAAGAGAGCCAATGTTTCAGCTGGAGCCTGAAGGCCAGAAAAGACCATGTCCAAGCCCACACGGTGAGCAGAGAGTGTCCCTCTCGCGCTCTGTCCACGCCTTCCCTTGACTGGCTGAGGCCTGCCGCGTTAGGGGGGCCGACGGTGGCACTCGGTCCACTGATCCCAACGTTAATCCCACCCAACAACATCCTCACAGACACACCCAGAACCAGGCTTGGCCAAATGTCTGGGCACTCCATGGCCCAGTCAAGTTGACACATGGAATCAACTGCCACGACCATGTCCCTTAGAAGGGGGTGGAGACTTCCTTTATGCCACTACCTGAGTTGTCACCTATTGAAAGCAGCATTGCTGAGACCTGGGTGATTTTAGGTCTTATGGGGATGGTGCAAACTTGCTGTGAGTGCTAACATCTCGGCTCTCCAGGAATGCACGAGCTGCCTGGAAAGGCCACCAGAGCCCAAGCTTTGAGGTCAGTAGACCTGAGGTTCACACTCTCTAATTCTGACGCTTATTCGCTGTGTGACCACCAAGGAGTCACTTAACCTCTCTGATTCTGATTTTTCTTCTGTAGAATGGGGATCCTCCTAATGTCTCCCTTGCAGGGCTGATGTGAGGATGACAGAGGACACATAAGGAGTACTGGGCATGCAGTAGATGCAGACCTAATTATTAGGTTGTAACTGTCTTAATGGGCATTGGAGTCTCTGCATTGAGCTACTTGGGCGTTTGGCTCTACCCCAGTTTCCCCAGTTTCACCACCATGTCTCCAGCGCTTCCCCAGCACTCTGGCCTGAGATGGAGTGGCCAGGTTCTGGGGAAGTGTTTGGGACTCTGGGTGGCAGGCACATAGCCAGGGCATCTGGAGGGTGACAGATTCTCAGCAGTGACAGTCAGGACTCAGGAAGTGATGTCTAGGAGGCACCTCCTTTTTCCTTCCCTCCCTTCTCTGGAGCTGCTCAGCTCAAAAGCTTTCATTTTGAACTTCTGCCCAAATCTCTTGCCCCAAGGGCAAGAGCATCAAAGACCTGGAGATGTTCAAGGGCCAGAGCTGGACCAGGAAGGCAAAACGCCCGGAGTCAGGAAGGAAAAGCTGATTAGCTCCTAATTGCCATTAAATTATACATACATATACGTATTTTAAGTCAAATCTGCATGTCTAATGTGATCTTTTTGATTACATTTTAATAGTCTGGCTGGGATGGAGGAATGGAGAAGAAGGGCGGAGGGAAGTTGTCAACAGGCCGCGGGGAGGTGCAGGCACGGGCCGCAGCCCTGGGAGCCCTGTTGGTCTGGAGAAGAGCGATGCCTGCAGGGGAATGGGGGTGTCTTTGAGTCCACACCACCTCCCACCTAAGCCCCGTTCTGTCCAGATGGGGACGTCCATCTGGCTCCTGACTTGAAGACACCTTTTGCCTTAGGCTTTAAAAATAGCTTTCCTATTTTGGCTCCTCGGGGCCACATGCCATCTCCTCCAGGCCTGGGGTCTTCCCTGGTGCTGCTGAAAATTCCCCCCAGAATCTGGTGATGGAGTAGAATGAAAGCTTCGAGCCAGGAGTCCTGGTCCCGCCATCGATAAGATGACCTGGGTGAGTCCCTTCTCCTCCCTGGGTCTCAGTTTCCCCATGTGTAAAAGGAAGGCATTGAACGAGGTATGCGCCGAGGCCCATTCTGGGTCTGGTGGGCAATGGTCTATTCCTTGCTCACCTAAAGACCCCTCTCTCCATCGCAGGGGATTAGTGACTCCACGCACATTCACCGGCTGGGCTTTGCCAACTCCCTCTGTCCCCAAGGTCCTCCTGCTTTCACGCTGGGATCTCTCCTGCTACAACTTAAGCCAGCTCTGCTTGCTTTCTCTCCTTGGAGGACAGAGCACTCCCTCCATAATGCCTATTGTAGTAACTCCTCAAAGAGTGGAAGGCTGTTAGCAGAATCCCTTCTTCCCACATACACACGCATTCTATTTTTAAATAACATTTATTTCTGATTCTAAAAGTACGGCTATACCTGATCATTTCAGAAAATTTGGAAAGACAAGTATAAAGGAGAAAATAAAAATCACCTATAATTCTTCCAAATGGATAACAGCTATTAATGGGTTTTAAAAATACCATATATATGCAGATTTTTTTTTCCTGTTATAAAATTGGGATTTTGCTGCAGATGTGGCTTTGTGTTGCTCCAAGCCTGGCCTTGAAACTGGGTGAGGTTCTTCTTTCGAGGCTCCCTAGAGTCTGCTGTTCCCTTTTAGGCAGCTGCCCCAGCTGCCGTTCCCAAGGGGAGGAAGACCTTGTTCCGTGGACATGCATCCGCCTTCGTTCAGGGGCCCCTGGGAGGCCCGGGGTTTGAGTTTTGACCTGTGTGAGTGTGCCTGTGTGAAGGAGGACACTCCCGGGGCTCACCCTAGTGGGAGACCATAAAGGCATGATCACAGCTCCCCTGTCCCCTAGATCTCAATTCTCCTTTGGGCTCTCTGCGTGGATGACAGGGACCGCAGGAGCCACCCTTGGTTCCTTTCCACCGAGCAGCTGGAGCTCCTCACTAAGCTAATCAATTCCCATCATTTGAGAAAGGAAAACAAATTTACCATTTGCTGCCCATCGTGCCTGCTGTGGAGGGGCCTGCGGAGGGGGCTGCTGGCTGGGGCATGGGTGTCAGGCGCCACCCACCAGCCAGGCCTCAGTGGGGGGGAGGGGCTCTTGGATGGCGCCTGCCCACCTTGGCCCGCAGACCAGCAGAGGGGAATGCCTGGGTGGCTGGGGCTCCTTGGAGACCCTGGGGGTGTCACAGCTGGAAGGACCTGGGCCTCAGCCACCCCACTTCAAGATAGGGGAGACAGGGTGGGACATACTCAGGGCCACAAAGAAAGCTGGTGGCTAAGCCAGGCCTGGAGACAGGTCGGTTGACCACCAGGCTGGTGTGATTTACCATGTGGTGGCTTTTCATTTCCCAGGTGGACTGGGAAGGAAGTCCTGTCCTTTCTGTCCAGGGGGGAGTTTTATCGACTACCTAACCCAAGTGCTTCCTTTTCCTTCCTTAATTCAACGAATATCTGCTGAATTCGGACTTTTTCCCCTCCCCACCCTCCAGGGTATTTTAAGCCATGGGAACCCAGCAGGGAAGATGACCGCCAAGTCCCTGCTCCCTTGGAGCCCGTGTCTACTAGGCTGTGGGGCTCCCACTGGGAGGTGGAGTGACTGGGCCTCATTTTCTGGTCACTTAAATCCAGCAAATGCTGTCTGCAGGGCATGGAGTCACATAAATGGAACAGGGCCCTCTTGTAATTGTTCCAGTTGCTGTCGCTATGTAACCAAAACATCCCCAGATGTGTGATGAATAACAACCACTGGATCACACTCGTGGATGCTGTGGTCAGGACAGGGTGCAGAGAGTGTGGATTAGCTCTATGCCATGGTGTCTGGGCCTCAGCTGGGAAGACTTGAAGGCTAGGGGTTACTCGATGAGCGGGGGCTGGGATTATCTGGAGGCAACTTCACTCAAGCGTTCACAGCACACAGCACTGTTGCTGGCTGTCTCCTACATGTGGTCTCTCTGCACGGATAATTTGGGCTTTCTCCAGCATGGCAGCTGGGTTCCAAGGAGAGCAAGGAGTGCCCCAAGAGAGCCAGGTGGAAGCTGCATCTCCCTTTATTACCTGGCCTCACAGGTCAGAGAGCACTGTCTTACTGTGGCCCCAGCCCACCCAGACTCGAGAGGAAGGCAGGCAGACGTTCCTTCCCCGATGGGAAGAGTGTCAAAGTCATATCACGAGATATGCCTGTGAGACGGCAGATATTGTCACAGGCATCTTTGGCAAATACAACCTGCTACATGGGTTTGTTAGGAGTCCCAGACTTTGGGGGGAAGTAGAGTATAAAAGAATAGTAGCTGTCATTTCCCAAGCACTCGTATCTGCCACACTCTGTGATCAGTCTGTTGTGTACATCACCCTTCCAGCAACCTCTGTGGTGAGTGCTGTTAGCCCCACTCTGCAGGTGGGAACACTGAGGCTCAGAAAGCCCTAAGTCATACAGTTGGCGTCTACACCCAAGTCCACCTGCTTCCAAAGCCATAGCTCTTTACACTCTGCTACATTGCCTCTCCCTCTCTGTCCCTCAGTAATTTTTACCCCCAGGCAAGTGTGATAAGGGTGATGAGAAGCTTAGACAGGCAGCTGGGGGTTCAGAGCTGGGAAGGCTTCTTGGCAGATGTGACGCTTCAGCAAGGCCTTGAAAGATAAGTTAGATTTGGACGCTGGAGGAAGGGGGTGGCTTTCCGGGTGGAACAGCAATGAGATGGAGGGGCCTTCAAGTCACCCAGGGAGTGTTGCTGTGACTCAGAATACTGGCCTTTGACCTCCCCCCAATACACCTGACACACTGTAAACCATACTCCCACAAGGCAGGCTGGGTCAGGGGCGGGATGGTTGGACTTAGTCCCCAGAAAAAGTGCACACATGGCCCCTGCCCCACTCTACCCTATTCCCATCAGCTTCCTTCCTCTGAGGCCAGGGACGGGGCAGAGGCTCCCGCGCACCTCCACGTCCACGTGCAGACTTGGTTTTCCCTTTGGAGATGGGATGAGTCTGAGCCGCCTCCGGTGTGAATGCAAATTGGGGCTCAGAACAGTTATGATCCTCTCTCCTCCTGGCAGGCTGGTGGGCTCACATTCGGGCATCGCAAACGGGAAGTTTTACCTCTTCAACAGGAATCTGGCATATTACAGGAGCTGTTCCCGCGCCTTCCAGGAGTCTCTCTTACAAGTCTTCTCCTGTGCACCCCTCCTCTCCTGCCCACACTACAGGGCCCCCTCCTCAGTCACTCTTTCTGCTTCTCTCCTCTTTGTTTCCATGTCTGCATCTGTCTCTCCCCCACCATTCCGTTCTCCCTGGTCTCTCTCCTCTTTCCCTGTCTCGGTCTCAGATCTCTCCCGTGTCTGTCTCTGTTTCCCTCCTTCCCCTTGCCTCTCTTCCTCACTTTCTCCGGACTGACGGCAGCCCCTCTCTTCCCGGACAGACCATCTAATTGAAACGGGGCAGTCCAGAGAATGTTAATAGGAAAGGCAGCATTAATTAGCCAGCTTCAGCATAATTAGCTTCCTCCTCTCATTGCCTGGCATCTAACTGAATAATGAGTCTCTCTCCGTCCAGAGGGCAGGCAGGACAAGAGAGACAGGCCATGCCTGGGATGCCGGAAGGCCTCCTGCCTTCGGGCCACCCCACTGGAGTCCTGGGGCTGCCAAGCTCTGCCCTCTCCTGCCAGGCCCTCCTGCTGCTGTGCTCAAGTCTCAGGGAGGCAGATGCCTGGCCCCTGCCTGTGCCCAAAGGTTTGATGTTGCTGGAGCTGCATATTAAGTGGTCTGAGCCTGACAAACAGTGGCTGCAGCTGCAGCAGCCCAGAGAGGGGGTGGGGAGCTATTGAGGTTCTCCAGAAGAGCTATGACAGGCATCTAGTCCTGGCACAGCACCATGGGCAATGGCTGAGCATGTTACAGTCCCCAGAGGGGAGCAAAGAAACCTGCTTATGTGACAGATAATAACCAATGTACTACACAGACTGTTGAGTACTTGCACCTCTGACCCCACAGTCGTGTGAGGCACAAATGGCCACTTCCATTTTATAGATGAGGACTCCGAAGTTCAGAGAGGCTCACTGCCTTGCCAATGTTCACACTGCCAGGACCCAAACCAGGGTCTGTCTGATGCTAAAGATCATGTTCTTTCCCTTGTACTCTTATACTTCCTGAAGATACTTTACAGCTGGTTCATTAAGTAAGAGTGGTTGCAGTGGGTCACATCTTACATTGGCCTTGAGTTCTAAAATAAAAGAATGCAGCAATAATTAGGAAATATGTGTAGTCAAAATTCTCCTTGAATATCCCTTACACCAGTAGAAACATCTTTTCTGTTTGCAATTGTTCTGTGATTCTCCTTTTTCTGTGGCCTTGAGAGCCAAGATCTAGTTGGGAGAGGTGACGGGCAAATAACAGGCTTTTCCTTTCCGTTCTGTGCACATGTGGGTGAATTCCGTTGGGTTAAGTGCCTGCGTGATGCAATTCCACTACAGCATTAGCAGGTGGTTGTGAGTGGACAGGATTTGTGCCCAGTGCTGGGCGAATTGCTCCACAGGGCACCATCCTCTCCTCCCCTGCAGGCTATGGACACGGAGGATGACCCCTTGCTGCAGGATGTGTGGCTAGAGGAAGAGCAGGAAGAGGAGGAAGGAGCCGGTGAGGCCTTTACGGGGGCCCAGAAGCCAGGACCTGGACCCGGGGCCGCGGGACAGTGCTGCTGGCGGCCCTGGACCTCGCCTTCCCGGCCCCCAAGCTCGGGCTTCTGGAGTACGCTGGGCTGGGCCTTCACCAATCCGTGCTGTGCGGGGCTGGTGCTCTTCCTGGGCTGCAGCATCCCCGTGGCCCTGTCGGCCTTCATGTTCCTCTACTACCCGCCCCTGGACATCGACATCTCCTACAACGCCTTTGAGATCCGCAACCACGAGGCCTCGCAGCGTTTTGACGCCCTCGCCCTGGCGCTCAAGTCCCAGTTTGGATCCTGGGGACGCAACCGGCGCGACTTGGCCGACTTCACCTCCGAAACGCTCCAGCGCCTCATCTCAGAGCAGCTGCAGCAGCTGCACCTGAGCAACCGCTCGCGGCAGGCCTCCAGGGCCCCGCGCGCCGTCCCCGCGGCCCCACCCGGCGGCCCAGGCCTGTCCAGGGCCACCTCCGCGGCCCAAAACCCAGCAGCCAATCGGAGCGGGCGCCTTCGTCGTGACACCTCGGCCCGGGTGGATCTGGCAGCCAACCAGAGTGAAGACCCGCGGACCCCAGGGCTGAACGGGAATGGACAACGCCATCCCAGCGTCCCGCCCCCCGGGCCCGCAGCGGCCAATCAGAGCCGTTCCCGCCGGGGCGCCTCACGCTGGGACTACTCACGTGCGTACGTGAGCGCCAACACGCAGACGCACGCGCACTGGCGCATCGAGCTCATCTTCCTGGCGCGCGGCGACGCGGAGCGCAACATCTTCACCAGTGAGCGGCTGGTCACGATCCACGAGATTGAGCGCAAGGTCATGGACCACCCGGGCTTCCGCGAGTTCTGCTGGAAGCCCCACGAGGTGCTCAAGGACCTGCCGCTCGGCTCCTACTCCTACTGCTCCCCGCCCAGCTCGCTCATGACCTACTTCTTCCCCACGGAGCGGGGCGGCAAGATCTACTACGACGGCATGGGCCAGGACCTCGCCGACATCCGCGGTGAGCGGGGCGCGGGCCTGGACGAGGCTGGGGACAGCACGTGGGCCCTGACGTAGCCCAGTGCTTTCCGGGGAGACTTGGGCCAGGCGGAGTGGGTCCCGAGCAGAGTGCCGGGCGTGGCCTGAGGGCGCGGTGAGAAGGGCTGGTCGTGGGTGTGAAGTGAGCGTGGGCAAAGAGGGAAGTTGGGGCGCAGACCCGGATGCAGGATATTCGGAGTTCTCCTATGGCCAGAGTTAGAGAAAGCGTGGGGTGAGGCTTGGGCGTGAGAGGTTGGTTAGAGGGAGGCCAGCGTGTGGTTATGGAGAACAGGGGATTTGGTCAGAAGAAGACAGGGGAGAGACTGGGGTTGAAGGAAGACAGAGGTAGGGTTTGTTTTAGGTAGGTTAGGGATGGGGCTTGGGGAAGAGTGGGGCAGGGCCGGGGAATGGTTGTGGGGACTGGGGTGGAGCTCAGGTGTGCTTTTTAAGGGAGGATGTGGGCAGGGCAGAACCCCAAGAGGCAGGACTGGCATGATGACCTTGAGGGAGGGCTGGTAGGAACTGACCGGCTGAGCTCTTTGAGCCCCCACTCCTGCCCCTGCAGGCTCCCTAGAGCTGGCCATGACTCACCCCGAGTTCTACTGGTACGTCGACGAGGGCCTCTCCGCAGACAATCTGAAGAGCTCCCTCCTGCGCAGCGAGATCCTGTTCGGAGCTCCCCTGCCCAACTACTACTCAGTGGATGACCGCTGGGAGGAGCAACGGGCCAAGTTTCAGAGCTTTGTGGTCACCTATGTGGCCATGTTGGCCAAGCAGTCTACTAGGTAGGAAGTCTAGCTGTACCCCAGTGTGTGGCAGCTCTTGTGTGTATCAGGAAAGGGCTGTCTTAGGGTTCCAGGTGCCTCTTACTCTGAATTGATTTCCAGGTGCCTCTTACTCCTGAACCCCATATCCCCTTCTCCACAACCTTTTCCTAGCAGGTCTTCCCAAATCAGGGGCAGAGCCAGGTATATCCTTGCTGTCACTCTGACAAGTGAAAGGCCCTTTTTCTTGACCAGTGCTAATAGTGCACATGACAGCTTTGGGCCAGGTAGTTTCCGCAAGCTATTTCACCTCTCTGAGCTACAGTTTCATCACTTGTCACTCAGCATTTTAGTTGTAACTCAAAGTGCAGTCCTCCAGTTAACAATATCGCCATCACTCAAGGACTTGTTAGAAATGCAGAATTGCAAGCTCTTTCCCAGTCCTATGGTACTTCCAGGTGATTTGTTTGCACGTTAAAGTTTGAGAGAGGTCCTGTGTAGTTTTCTGTCTCAATAGAATGTGAGTCTGTTGCTCCTGGTTCATTTCTGTAGGCCTCACCCCTAGCACAGTGCCAACCACCGTGAGTAAGGGTTTGTCTGAGCAACGAAAGCATTAATGAGTGGAGTTGCCTCAAGGAAAAGTACTTGGCTGAGTATGGCAGCTGAGTATAGAGGAATCTTTAGGGTTTTAGATACATGATTATCCCTGCCCACATATTCAGCTGCTGAGGCAAAACCCCTGCCCTTGGAAGAAAATGCTGCTCTTTCCCTTTTCTTCCCCCTAGAGCTTCATAGCAGCGGTGACAACCAGGGACCCTGTAGACTTGACTCTAGTGCCTTCTTTTGGATTAACAAAAATTTTTAAATTATTCTGTTTTTGGTTACTCAAGAGATGACAGCATGCACCTTGACTTATTACAGAATAATACAAATGATCAGTTTTACTACTTCCCTGATAATACTGGAACCTTAGAACACATTCACTGCCTTTGTTGTCCTGCACCCTTCTGTATTTTTGTTGCATGCATTTAAATCTTATATACATTTTAAACCCCATAAGACACTACCTTATTGTTGTACAGAGTTTGTATTCATTTATATTTATTCATGTATTTACCTTTTCTGTTGCTCTTTATTACTTTCTACAATTTTATGTGTCCCTCTGGGATCATTTTTCTTGTGTCTGAAGAACTCTCTTTAGTGCTTCTTTTAGTGCAGGTTTGCTGGTGATAAGTTCTCCATTTTGTTTGCCTAGAAAACATCTTTATTTTACTTTAATTTTTGAAGTGTATTTTTGCTGAATAGGATTATAAATTGGCAATTTTCTTTTAATATTGTACTCAAAAGATGTCACTCCATTGTCTTCTGACTTCCATCATTTCTGTGGAAAAGTTAGGTGTAAATCTTTTTTGTTGCTCCTTTAAAAGATTATCTTTCTATCTGCTTTTAAGATTTCTCTTTGTCTTTGGTTTCAGCAGTCTTGCTGTGAGGTATGTTGGTGAATTTTTATTGTATTTGTTCTGTCTGGGATCACAGAGCTTCTTGAAGCTGTAGGTTGATGACTGTTCTGAGTTTTAGGAACTTGGGTATTATCTCTTCAAATATTACTTCTACCTTGTTCTCTGTCCCCTTTCCTTTTAGGACTCTAATTACACAAATGTTAATTCTCTTCACTGAGTCTCATGTGTCTTCACTACTTCACTACTTTTTTTCTAGGTTTTATCTATTTTTTTCCTAGGCTTTGGTTTAGATATTCTAGTTTGCTGATCTTTTATTGTGTCTAATCTACCATTTAATGTCTATTGAGTTTTTGGGGTTTTTTTGAGACAGGGTCTTGCCTTCTCTCCTGGGCTAGAGTGCCATGGCATCATCTTAGCTCACAGCAACCTCAAACTGCTGGGCTCAAGTGATCCTCTTGCCTCAGCCCCCCAAGTAGCTAGGACTACAGGTGCACACCACCATGCTTGGCTAATTTTTCTATTTTTTGTAGAGACAAGGTCTTGCTCTTGCTTGGGCTGGTCTCAAACTCCTGGTCTCAAGCGATCTCCCACCATGGCCTCTCAAAGTGCTAGTATTACAGGCACAAGCCACCATGTCTGGCCAAGTTTTAATGTTAATGTTCTATTTTTCTGTTGAGAATTCCATTTGATCCTTTGTTATCTATCTAAATCACTGGTAAAGCTCTTCATCATTTTATTTATTTTGTCCACAGTCTCCTCTCTGTTCTTAGGCATATTAATTATAGTTATTTTCCAGTTTTTATTAGTTAACTTTTAATGTATGGGTCTTTCACTTGGTTTTGGGTCACGTGGTCCTGCCTATGGGTATGCCTGGTAATTTTTATTAAGTGATGAACATTGTATATAAAAAACACAGAGGCTCAGGTAATGTTATTTCCTCCAGAGAAAGTTTATCTTTCCTTCCTTCCAGGAGGCAGATAGAGTTGTGGCTGAACACCTTAAACAGGCAGTCCCTGCATTGAGTCAAGGATGTTTCCAGCCCTGCAAAGTCTCAGTCTTCCTCTAGTTTGGCTTAGGTCCTCTGGGATTTTCAGCTGAGAGCCTGGCATATTCTGCAGTCCCTTCCTCTGACAAGTTCCCGTCTCTAATCTTGATCTCAAAGCTGCTAAAAAAAAAAAAAAAAACCTCCATTCTGCTTTTTCAGAAGCTTTTTCTGCTTGGCTTTTTTAGTCATGTGCCCCGCACAGCCCCAGTCGTCAGCAGAAGTGCTGAGGGAAGCCTAACCATGTGCTCTGCTGGTCTGCAAGTCTCTGCCCAGGGCTCTGCCAGCGTCCCTGACTCCCAGCCAAGATCTTCAGCCTTCTGCCCATGTTCACAATCAGCAAATGCCTCCAGGATAAAAACAGCTCTAGAAGGGCAGCTTACCTTTCATAAGTTCTCCCCTTTCTCAAGTCTAAGCCAGCTGGTTCTCATTACTTCAGCAATTCTTCTGTCATCACAGATGATTTCCGAATTTTACTTGACTTTTCAGCAGTTCTAGGCAAGAATTCTGGTCTTCCATGTGCTGTTCCTTTCTACTTGAGAGTAAAAGTTTGGGCCTGTGTCTTTTTATAACCAACAACTAGAACAGGACCTGGAAGACACTCTGTAGATGGTATACAAATTATTGTGTGAGTGAATGAACAATTGATTTAACTTGCAGTTTTATGTGCTAATGAATGTACAGTTAAACTGTTTAATTCAACAAAGTAGATCATCTAGAGATCTTTTTGACTTGGCTTTGAAATGTCCTGTTTGGATTTTTTACAACTTTTTTGAGGTATAGTTGACATATAGCCAACTGCACATACTTAAACTTTATAATTTGATTAGTTTTGACATGTGTGTATAGCATGAAATCCTCACCATAGTGAGGAGGCATCATCCCCTCACCCCCAATATGTTTCCTCATGTCCCCTTAATTGGTCCATCCCATCCTGACTACTGACTCCAACCCTCGGCAGCCACGTTCTGTTTTCTATCATTATGTATTGGTTTTCATTTTCTAGAATTTTATATACAAGGCATCATATAGTATGTACTCTTTTGATTGGCCTATTTTATTCCATCTAATTATTTAAAGTTGTGTCCATGTTGTTGCATGTATCAATAATTTATTCTTTTTACATTCTGAGTAGTATTCCATTGTTTGGAGCTGTCACATTTTGTTCATCCATGTACCTGTTGATGGATACTTGGGTTGTTCCAGATTTGGCAATTACAGACAAAGGTGCTGTGAGCATTCAGGTGCAAGCCTTTGTGTGGACATACACTTTCATTCTTTTAGATAAATACCTAGGTGTAAAATGACTGGATCATAGTGTAAGTTTAACTTTTTAAGAAATTACCAAACTATTTTCCAAATCAGTGGTACCATTTTACTTTCCCACCAGCAGTGTATGAGAATTCCAGTTCTTGCCTATCCTCTATGCTTGATAGGGTCAGCTTAAAAATTTGTAGCCATTCTAATAGGCATGTGGTGGTATCTCACTGCAGTTTTAACTTGCATCTCCCTAATTATTAGTGATGTTGGACATCTTTTCACATGCTTGTTGGACATCTATTCATCGTATTTGGTTGAACTATCTATTCAGATCTTTTGCCCATTTTAAATTTGGTTTTACACATAGTATTATGATGTTCTGTTTCAAGTTAACTTTTGTATATGGTACAAGGTATGGATCGAGGTTTATTATTTTCACATGGATGTTCAGTTGTTCCAGCACCATTTGTTGAAAAGACTCTTCTTTCTCCACTGAATTGCATTTGCACCTTGGGCAACGGTACAAAGGGCCCTGCCTTTGCACCATATATGTGTGGGTCTGTTTCTGAACTCTTTCTTGTTTCACCAGTCTATTTCCCCTGTGCACGCTAGAATCACACCATCTTGATTCCTGCAGCGTTATACCAAGTCTTGAAATCAGATAGTGTTAATCTCTCAATTTTGTTTTGAAAAGTTGTTTTAGTTATTCTAGGCCCTTTGTGTTTCCATAAGAATTTTAGAATCAGCTCACCTATTTCTATTAATACAAAAAAAGTCTGCTGGGATCTTGATTGTATTTGTGTTGGATCCCTAGATAAATGTGAGGAGAACTGACTTCTTAATATTATGTCTTCTGACCTTATGAGCGTAATATATCTGACATATTCTGTCATCGTTATCCCTCAGTATTTCATAATTTTAAAATTTCAATTTCCAATTGTTAGTTGCTAGTATATAGAAATATAATTGATTTTGTGTCCTATGATCTTACTAAATTCACCTGTTATTAGTTCTAGTAGATTTTTTGTTTTTGTGTTTTGCAGATTCCTTTGGGAATAGATGTCTTGTCTTCTGATAATAAAGATAACATTACTTTATCATTTCCAATTTAGATGCCTTTTATTTCTTTTTCTTGCCTAATTGCACTGGCTGAACCTCAGTACAATGTTGAATAGAAGTGATGAGAGCAGGTGCTCCCTGTCTCATTCCTAATAAAAAAATGTAGATTTTTTTGTAGATGTCCTTTATCAGGTTAAGGATGTTCCCTTCTGTTCCTTATTTGCTAGTAGTTTTTTTCTTTTTTTAATCAGCAATGAATATTAATTAGGTTTTGTCAAATGTTTTTCTTCATCTAGTGGGGTGATCATATAGTTTTTCCTCTTTTGGTTTAATATGGTGAATTACATTGATTGAATTGTCATGAAATATTATCCTTTGCATACAGTGTTAAATTCTATTTGTATTTTGTGTTACGGGGCTAAATATGTTCCTCATAGACTTTGGATTTTAGTTTTCTTATATCTTCAGCTGATTTTGGTATCAGGGTAGTTGTGGCCTCATAGGATGAGTTAGGGAGTATCCTCTTTTTTTAGTTTTCTGGAGAGTTTATGTGGAACTGGTATTATTTCTTTCTTAAATGCTTTATAGAATTTTCCAATGAAACTATCTGGGCTTGGAGTTTTCTTTATGGGAAGGTTTTTAACTACAAATTCAATTTTAAAAATATACATAGAGATGTCAAGGTTATCAATTTGTCTTATTTTGTCCATTTCATTCAGTTATCAAATTTGTTGGTGTAAAGTGATTTATAATATTCTTACTATCTTTTTAATATTTGTAGAAACTGTAGTGATTGTCACCTCTTTCATGTGTGTCTTCTTTCTTTTTTTCCATGATTACTCTGGCTAGAATCTCATCAATGTTATTGATCTCAAAAAACTAGCTTTTGTTTTCATTGATTTTTCTCTATTTTTCTGTTTTCTGTTTTATTGAATTGTGCTCTGATCTTTATTTTCTTCTTTCTGTTTACTCTACATTTAATTTTCTCTTGTTGTATTTTCTTAAAGTAGAAGCTGAGGCCATTGATTTAAAATCTTTCTTCTTTCCTAATAGAGGTGTTTAGTGCTGTAAAATTCCCCTTAAGTACTGCTGTTTTAGTGTATTTCACAATTTTTGATATGTTGTGTTTCCATTTTCATTCAGTTCAAAATAGTTTCTATTTTTCCTTTTGATCTCTTCTTTAACTCATGTAATTGAAAAGGATGTTATTTGGGAACTTTTCAGTTATTTTTTGTTGCTGATTTTTAATTTAATTCCATTATGGTTAGAGAACATACTCTGTTTGACTTAAGTTCTTTTACATTTATTGAGTCTTGTTTTATGGTCCAGTATATGGTCTGTCTTGCCGAATGTTCCCTACGATGCACTTGGAAAAAAATGTGTATTCTGCTCTTGTTGGATGAAATGTTCTGTAAGTGTTAATTAGATCAAGTTCATTGATTGTGTGTTGTTCCTGGACTTCTGTATCCTTACTGATTTTCTGTCTAATTGTTCTAGCAGTTATTGAGAGGGGTATTGAAATGTCCATCTGTAGTTGTGGATTTCTCTAATTCTTTTTTCAGTTCTGTCAGTTTTTGCTTCATGTATTTTAAATTTCTGTTATTAGGTACCAAAACATTTAGGATTGTTGTATTCTGTTGATGAATTGATCCTTGAACTCCTGACCTTGAGCAATCCTCCCACCTCAGCCTCCCAGAGTGCTAGGATTGCAAGCATGAGCCACCACACCCAGCCTTGATTAATAGATCCTTTTATCATTTGGAAATTATCTTCTTTGTCCCTGGTTATATTATTTGCTCTGAAATGTGCTTCATTTGTTATTAATATAACCAGCCCAGCTTTCTTTTGATTCTGTTATTATTTTATCTGTTTTCATGCTGTTATCATTATGTTTGTATGATATATCTTTTTCTATCCCTTTGCTTTTCAACTATTTGTGTCCTTATATTTAAAGTGGGTTTCTTATAGGCAGCTGAGTCTTGGTTTTTTTAAATCTGACAATCTCTGCCTTTTATTTGGGATGTTTAAGTCTTTACATTGAATGCAATTATTGATATGGTTAGATTTAAGTCTATTTTATTCTATTTGTCCCATGTGTTCTTTATTTCCCTTTACCTCTCTTTTGCCTTCTTTTGAACTGAGTGTTTTTTATGATTCCATTTCATCGCCTTTGTTAGATTTTTAGCTCTAACTCTTTATTTTAGTGGTTATTTTACGGTTTATAGTGTCCATCTTTAAATTATCACAGTGACTTTTGAATGATGTTGTATCATTTCATGGATAGCATAAGAGCCTTACAATAGTATACTACTCTTTCTTCCCTCCTGGCCTTTATGCTATTGTTAATACATTTTATTTTTATATATGTTATAAACCCCGTGCTACATTGTTATTATTTATTTAAAGAGTCAAGTATCCTTAAAAAAATTAAATAAATAATAAGAAAATTTTATATATTTGTTTTTGTCATTACCATTTCAAATGCTTTTTGTTCCTTTTTATAAATCCATATTTCTATCTGTTATCATTTTCCTTCTGCCTGAAGGAATTCCTTTAACATCTCTTGTAGAGAAGGTATACTGGAGATGAATTATTTCAGGTTTTGTATATCTGAAAAAGTCTCTCATTTTGCCTTTGTTTTTGAAGTATATTTTTGCTGTGTGTAGAATTCTGGGTTGACTTTTCCCCCAGTATCTAAGGGATGTTACTGTGCTGCCTCCTCGCCCACGTGGCTTCCATTGGGAAGTCTGCTGTCAGCATTGTCCTTGTTCCTCTGTCTGTCATGTGGCTTTTAACTCAGGCTGCTTTTAAGACTTTCTTTTGGTCACTGTTTTTGAGCAATTTGATTATGATGTACACTGTTATAGTTTTATTTCATGTTTTTTGTGCTTGGGGTTCATTGCTCCATCTTCTCGGATCAGTGGGTTTATAGTTTTCATCAAGTTTGGAAACTTTTGGCCTCCTGTGGAGTCTAGTAGCCCGTGTGTTAGGCTCCACTGAGGACTGGAACTCTCAAGGCAGCAAGCCAGGGTAACCATAGGGCTCATGTTGTGTCTCATTCCCCGGGATCATCATCCTTGGTTGTCTGATGTCCAGAGTCTTGTTTCAACCCTTTTCCCACATTTTTGTCGGTTCCAGTGAGAAGGTGAATCTAGTTTCCATCTTGTTACTCCAGCTTGGCCAGAAGCAGATTTGCTCCCATTTGTGTTTTAAAACACAGTTTGACCAATCTCGTTATGTTTCCTTATTAAAAATAACTTGTGTTAACCACACACTGAGTGGCAGTGTCAAACTAAATATCCGCAAGCCAGTTTGGATTTAGAATTTTGCTGCAGACAGTTGAGAATTGAAAAATGACATAGAATCAGAATATAACATTATTATGGCCTGTATGAAGCAGTGGTTCATCAATGTTGGCCACACATTTGACTCACCTGGGAGATTTAAAGAACACTGATGATCCTGCCCCACCCCAGAGGTTCTGCTTTAGTTTGTCCGGGGCCTGCCCTGGATGTCAGGATTTTTGGAAGCCCCAGGTGGTTTTGATGTCCAGCTGGGTTAAAGAGCCCCTGGTGAAGTGGCTGCTCCTGGTCCTCCCCCAGTGCTCACGGCCACTCCACGCCCCTCCCCGCCCTTCCTCTCTCCGTGTGCTCCCGCCCCCAGCAAGGTCCAGGTTCTCTACGGCGGCACAGACCTGTTCGACTACGAGGTGCGCAGGACCTTCAACAACGACATGCTCCTGGCCTTCGTCAGCAGCAGCTGCATCGCCGCCCTGGTCTACGTCCTCACCTCCTGCTCAGGTAGGTCTCCGCGACGGTCTGGCTCGGAGACAGCCCCCTCCAGCCCTCCCGGTTTGCTCCCGTCCGCCCACAGCCTGCCCTCACAAGAATGCTGGGGCCCTCGAGAACGTCAGAGCTGGGGACACAGGCAGTGCTCAGAAGTCATCTTCCAACCCCAGGCAGGCAGATGGAGGTCTGGAGCCAGGTTGGGCCACACCAGCCTGAGGTCAGGGCACACACCCGGGACCTCACACAGTTTGACCTTCTGCCATTCGACTGCCTTGCCAAAGCCCCTGTTGGCAGCTTTGTGATGGGAAGCTGGGCTACTGGACTCGGCTTCGTGGGTTATTCTGTAGCCTGTTTTGTGGTCCCAAATCAGCTGCCCTCTGCCCCCCAGCTTCCTTTCCCACCTCCACTGCCCATGTATACTAGCTGCTTCTTGCTGCTGCCTGTATACAGTCAGCATGCTCTATTGCCCAAATGAACAAAAGCATGGTAATACCTTCACAAATGGAAAAGACATTCATTCATCCATGTAACAAATATTTCCTGGGCACCCACTGTGTGTCAGGTACTGTAAGGTGTCACGGATCCAGTCACAGTTCCTACCCTGTGGGTGACAGACAGAAAACATCTATGTTCATAAGTCCCTCACTTGAGGTAAAGCCTGCAAGGATGAGGTCTCAGGGGCACCCTGACTTACTCACTTGGGGCTCCTGCCCAGCCCCTTTTTGAGTTGGGAAGCTGGGCCTGTGCTGGGAACACACAGGCTGGTGAGGAGCACCTGGGGGCGGGGGACGAGGCAGGGACACTAAGGGGGTTTGTGCTCCATGAGGGTCCTGCTCACCTGTCCTTGTTCCTCTGGCCCGCCCAGTGTTCCTGTCCTTCTTTGGGATCGCCAGCATTGGCCTCAGCTGCCTGGTGGCGCTCTTCCTGTACCACGTGGTCTTCGGGGTCCAGTACTTGGGCATCCTCAACGGGGTGGCCGCCTTCGTGGTGGTGGGCATTGGTGAGTTGCCTCCGTTGCCATGGCAGTGGGCCTCCCACTTGGGAACTTTGCCCCTTCCCCCAAAAGGGGCTTCTCCCTGGACACAAAGCCTGGCGTCCATGGGGCTGTAAAGCCCCCTCTCCGGCTTAGGCTTTGGGGTTAGAATGTGAGTGGGGGGTGGATGCCTGGCGAGGGGGTGGGAAGAGCAGGAGGGTGTGCTGGTAGGAAGTGGGGGAAGGACCGAGTTGGTCCAGGAGAGCTCGGGCCTGATCCTGGAGGCAGCAGCGCCTGATGTTCTCCTGACGGCACTGCCCCCGCAGGCGTGGACGACGTCTTCGTGTTCATCAACACCTACCGCCAGGCCACCCACCTGGAAGACCCGCAGCTGCGCATGGTCCACACCATCCAAACAGCCGGCAAGGCCACCTTCTTCACCTCCCTGACCACGGCCGCTGCCTATGCAGCCAATGTCTTCTCCCAGGTGGGGGACCTGCCCCTGCACCCTGCCCTGGCCTCCCCATCCCTCCTGGATGTCCTTGGGCCCTGGGCTCTGCTCTTCCCCCTGCCCCCCACACCCTGTGTGGCCACCCTGCCTTTGCCTGCAGGTACTTGCCATGTCTCTGGGGCCCATTTTCATCACTCATCACCCGCTAGCAAAACTTAGCAAGTGGGAAAATTATACTACTACAAGCAGCATTTATTACTGACGCTCATTGATATTAATCCAGCCTCCAACCTGGGGGTGTTTGACAGCTTCTAACGCACTTTCATCTTCATTACCCACTACAAAGGACAATTGCCATCCCTGTTTTCCTCACACAGTGACTTCCTCAAGGTCACACTGCAGGTCAGGGCTGAGCCTGACCCGGTCTCCTGGCTCCTGCTCCAGAGCTGCTCCTACCGCCCGTCTCATGCCGCGTGGCTGCCCCTCGCACTGGCTTCTTCCTGCTGGTCCCAGGGGCCTTCGGGCTCGGAGTGGGGCTCAGGAAAAGGCTCTGAGTTTGGGCTGGGTCCTGAGTGCTGGAAGATAATGAGTGGGCCCCAGTCTTTGAGGGACTTTATGACCTGGGCGGAGTAGCCCATCTAGAAACTACTAGATGCTTGGAGATTTTCTGGGTTTTCCCAGAGAACCAGTTCCAGAAAGCAGGCAGAGCTGGGTTCGGTTTCCAGTGTGGGACCTTGGGGAGGTTGTATAACCTCTCTGAGCCTCACTTTCCTCACATGGGTTATTCGGGGATTGAAAAAAGATGGTTGTGAAGATGTTTCACGAAGAGTGCAGGCTTGTCTGCTTGCTGGCTACGGCTTCCTTCCAGCTGGCACATCTGTGCAGGTCCCCAGGCCCCCTGCTTCCCTCACTGGCGACACTCTCCCCCTTCTCCCTCGCTGCCACATGGCCTGCTCTGACAGGTTTCGTCTCACGTGTCCGCCATCCATTCGGGCAGTGACAGTTACCAAGCACCTCCTCTGCCAGGCACTGTTCCAGGCAATGGGCTGCAGATAGACAGGAACCTCCACTCTAGAGGTGGGGACCCTTCTTCCACTGCTGTGTCCCCTGCAGCAGCCCCTGGCTCCTGGCGTCTCTGCAGCCTGGGCTTCCTCATCCCACCATGGTCCAGGAGTGGTCTGGGGCCCTGAGCGTCTCTGGCTCCAGGCCTGACCAACCCTACCTCCCTCTCTGCCTCCCTGCCACTAGATCCCAGCCGTGCACGACTTTGGCCTGTTCATGTCCCTCATCGTGTCCTGCTGCTGGCTGGCCGTGCTGTTCACCATGCCCGCGGCCCTGGGCCTCTGGAGCCTGTACCTGGCACCGCTGGAGAGCTCCTGCCAGGCCAGGTGAGCTGGGTGGCGTCCTTCCCTCGCTGAACACCCACCGCAGGCCACTTGGCACACCACCCTCTCTTCCAGAAGCCCTCGTGGCTCTTTAGTGAGCACCTTCTGTATGCCCAGTCCTGTGCTAGGCAGGGGACAAGGGAGGGGGAAGAGACCCCTGTCCAGTTACCGTTTGTGATCACCTGTGTGGCACCAGGACGTGGGCAAAGCACTTCTGCACAGGATCTTATGACACCCCCCCAGAACCCCTGGGAGCCAGGGCCTCTCATTGTGCCCATTTTACAGATCAGAAAACAAGGACTCAGGGAGGTTGGACAACTTTCTCAGCCACCCATTTAGTAGCTAGCAGAGCCAGGATTTAAATGCAAGAACATCTGACTGCAGATCCCAGGCCCTGAGTCCCCACATTAAATGTCCTCAGGTCTTCTTCAGATGTAGGGAGCGTGTGCGGAGTTGAACGGATCAGTTCGCAACTGCGGCCGGAGGTCGAGGGGGAGGGGTCTGTGGGGCTGACGGTCAGAGAAGATGGGGTGGTGGGACTGAATCGGGCCTGGGTACTACCTGGGGTTGGGAGAGTTGGGGATGACGGAGGGTCTCTGGGCTTGGGGCAGGACACGCAGAGGCCTTGGCTGGTGGTTTTCAGGGGTCCATGACAACGCGCACTTGATGGTGGTGAGCCCAGGAGGGGCTGGAGGGCGACAAGGGCCAGGTGAGGAGCTCAGACCTGAGCCTGAGAGGGACTCCTCCGCTCTGCTCACTCGCACTCCTCCTCCGAGGCTGCGTGTGTGCACAGGTCGGGCACTGTGCAAGAGCACCACTGGGCGCTGCTGTCTGCACCCAGGACATTCAGATTTGAGTATTCTTATGACAGTTTTATGGCAGAAACACAGTGTCTTGGGGAAAGGGCACCTTTCTCCAGTCTCCACAGAGACGCCAAACGAGCCCGCCCCGTGTCTTCCGCAGTAGTCGGATGCTGTAGTCCTCCCAGGCGGTCGGACCGGGCTCCGGCCTCAGCCTCTCCACTGGGCAGAGGCGGAACCTTGGGCGGGTTACTCACCCTTTCTGCGTCTCGGTTTCCTTTTCTTAAAATGAGTGAGCACTGTGTAGGAGCCCACAAGGGTTAAGTGAGATAATCACGGGACAAACAGTTCGCAGCCTGGCACGCAGCACGCACGAGTATTAGCTATCTGTGTTCTTGTCCCCAGTCCCTGGGTGAGCCTTGTCTTGTCCACGTTCTCTCCAGCGGAGCCTCCGCCACGCTGGCCGCAGCCCCAGCCCAGCCCCACCCGCCGCCTCCTGGCTCCCCCGAGGGTTAGCTGGTGTCAGAGCACCTGGGTCACATGACAGCAAAGGAACAAGTCCCTGCTTTGGTCACCTGGGTGCACTGGCCACTGTGTTGTCATCTCCTCTTCCTGGGTACAGTCTGCTGTCACTGTTTGTCTCCCCAGAGGAAGATTGGCCCCCAAGGGCCCCAGGGTAGATGGTACTAGAAAGAAAGCAAGTGACTAGCTCCTAGATGTCTGGGGTGCATGTCTCTTGTGTGACGCCAGCAGCAGTGTGATACCTGGGTTTATCTGGTCACCAGGGCCTTGCCCTGCCCCCTCTGGTTACCCACCACCCTCTGGGCTCACCCCTTTCCCCCACTCTTTCTACAGCTGCCACCAGAAGTGTGGCCGCAAGAGCTCCCTGCACTTCCCCGGGGACGTGTTTGCTGCTTCAGAGCGGGTTGGGGGCAGCCCTGCCCAGGGCCCCATCCCCTACCTGGACGATGACATCCCTTTGCTGGATGTCGAGGAGGAGCCAGGTGAGAGCTGGTGCAGGCTGCCCTGATGACCCCAGTGAGACCTGGGGCTGCTCTGCCAGTGGGAGATGTTGACACGGTGGGCCTGAGGCAGGGGGCTGGACAAGGTGGCCTGCGGGCATTAGGCTTCCCTGAGGAGGGCGCAGACCAGGGTGGGCTTTAACTCTGGCTTTGACAGGCCACTGTTCTGCCCTGCAGTGTCACTGGAGCTGGGAGACGTGTCCCTGGTGTCTGTGTCCCCTGAGGGCCTGCAGCCAATCCCCGACAGGGGCAGCCGAGGCCAGCTCATCACGCAGCTGCAGGAGCTGCTGCACCACTGGGCGCTGTGGTCGGCCGTCAAGAGCCGCTGGGTGATCGTGGGTAAGTGGGCTGTCCCCTGCTCCTCTGTCTGGGGGCTCTTCCCCAGCAAGGGCAACTCCCCCAATGAAGATGTGGGTGCTGGGAGCCCGCCCCCTCCCACAGATGCACTAGAGGTGCAGTCCCCAACCTTGGCACCAGGGCCGTGTTTCATGAAAGACAGCTTTTCCATGGCGGAGGCTGAGCTGGGGCAGTGGTGCGAGCGATGGGGAGCGGCTGTAGATACAGATGAAGCTTGGCTAGCTCCCGGCCGCTCACCTCCTGCTGTGCACGCCCCCTTCCTGTGTTTCATGGGAGATAATCTTTCCACAGACAGGGTGGAAAGAAAGGGGGAAGGGAACTCTACAGCCTGGTCCCTAACAGGCCGTGGACTGGTACCAGTCCTGGGGGTTGGGGCCTTGTCACTCTCTGGGCCTTACCTTCCTGGGTAGAGGGAGGCTAGTCCTACAGTAGCTGCTGCTGCCTGGTGCCAGTCGTCACTCTGGGCAGCAGAGTGTGTAATGCTTGGGCTCTGGAGTCAGAGCCACTTTGAATCTGATTGTGCTACATACTTGCTGTATGACTTTGGTGATGTCAGTCCATTTGATGCTCAGTTTCCCATTGTGTAATCGAGGATAAGGATAGTGTCTGATAAGGTAGTTGTAAGGAGTGCAATAGTGTATATAAAGATCTTAGGCCCTGCCAGGCACAGTGGCTCACGCCTGTAATCCTAGCACTCTGGGAGGCCCTGGGGGGAGGATGGCTTGAGCACAGGAGTTCAAGACCATCCTGAGCAAGAGCGAGACCCCATCTCTACTAAAAATAGAAAAATTACCCGGGCGTCGTGGCACACACCTGTAGTCCCAACTACTCAGGAGGCTGAGGCAGGAGGTTCATTTGAGCCCAGGAGTTTGAGGTTGGTGTGAGCTATGATGATGCCACGGCACTCTACCTGGGGCAACCAAGTGAGACTATGTCTCAAAAAAAAGAGAAAAAAGATCTTAGCCCAGGGCATGGTATGTAGTAAGTGGTCAATAAACAGTTGGTACCATTATTGTTGTCACAGTATTGTAGAGCTGCGTGAGATCAGGTGGCTGCGCCAGCTCTTACAGATTACAAAGTGCTCTTGTCCGGGAGTGTTAGCTTCTAGCTTACAGTCAGACGCTGGGGACACCACGCTTTACAACCAGCCCCTATCCCTGGGAGGACCCGTCCCCAGCAAGCTTCACCTGCTGGCTGGCATGCTGGGCCTGTGCCCACTCCCTTGGGACAGCCCCCCTATAGTGAGAGCAGCCCTCCCCAGGACCGGGGAGGCCCGGCTGTGAGTGTGCCACCTGGGCCCCGACCTGCCTAGCTCGGTGTCCTTTCCTCGCAGCACTGTTTGTCTCCACCCTCGTCCTGTCGCTGGTGTTCGCCAGCCGGCTCCGCCCCGCCAGCCGGGCCCCACTGCTCTTCCGGCCCGATACCAACATCCAGGTGCTGCTGGACCTCAAGTACAACCTGAGCGCTGAGGGCATCTCCTGCATCACCTGTTCAGGTGAGGGTTCCCAGCCGGGACATCCCCTGACCTGTTTGGTGTCCAGACCTCAAAGACTGTTGGCTGGAGAGAGGCAGGATCCAGGCTTCCCCACGCTGGTGACCTCAGACACACCACACTCAACTCTGAGCCTCAGTGTTCCCACGGTTCATCAAACAAATGCTTGCTGGGTGCCTGCTGGGTGCTGGCCCTGGGCAGCTACAGTGGGCGGGAGAGACGGGCTTCCGGAGCTCAAGGAGTCCATGTGCCAGTGCTGGGGACAGGTCATTATAACAGCAGATCTGAGCTTTGGAGGAGGGCGGACAGGGTGCCTTAGGGGCACGGTACCATGGAAGGCTTCCTGGAGGAGGTAGTGTCTAAGCAGAGACCCAAAGGACGGAAGGAGTTACCCAGAGGGGAGGTGGGGGGTAGAGGTCTTGCAGAAGGGTCGCCAGAGGTGGGAGAGACCAGGGCAAGTTCCAGAGAGGCAGATGGCAGGAGTTCAGGCTGGGCCAGTGGGCTGGGCCAAGCCAGAGGGGCTCAAGTGAGGAGTCTGGATTCTGTTCCACGTGTCACTGGAAACCTGTGGGGGGGTTAGGCCTAAGGGTGATGATCGAGTGCCCCAGGTGCCGTGTGGATTGGGGGCTGGGAGGAGGCGAGTGGGGGCAGCATGCTGAGGGTGGCGATTCCCACAGGGCTCTGTGATGGTGTGGGTGTCAGAGAGGAGCAGGGAGGGGAGATAAAGGTGTCTCCTTGTCTTGGAGGTGGTCCAGGCCCTCCCTTTACAGAGGGGGAGCCTGCTGTCCAGGTTGGAGGTAAGTGAAGCCAAGCCAAGGTCATCCGGCTTTGCAGGGCAGCCGGAAAGCCAAAGGGAAGAGGCTGGGGGAGAGCCTCCCGCTCATGGGAGCGGAGCCGCCGGCTGCTGTAATTGCCTTCATTTAATTAGGGCGGTGTTCAGATTAACCTGGCCTTCCCCGTGGTAATGGCAGCCAAGTGCATGATAATCGACTGCAGCTCAGAGAGATGCCCGAAGAGCCCCTCGTAAATGGGAGCCAGCCCTGGCCACATCCCCAGCTCCTCTGCCCGCTGCCTGGGCATAGGATCACACCCCGTTACCACTGCTGCTGGCCCTGCCCTCCCAGGGCCTGGCTGCCATTTCACAGATGGCCAAACCCAGGATGGTCCCAGAGTTCCCGGACAGCACCTGGAGGGGAGCCAGTCTCTGTGAACCGCCCCTTGGAGGGACCCTTCGTGGTGCAGCAAGAGCACCTGGGCTTTAGAAAGTGCAGGCAAGGCCAGACTCTAGTGGGTCTCCCAGCCGCCCTGCGGTGAACCTCTGCTTTCTCCTCCGCTAGGCATGATTCATAATGACAGCCTCCTAGGATTGCTGGGAGGATTAAAACTTATAAAGTGTAAAGCTCTAATTAAAAAAATGTTTTTAAACATTTTTTTAAAAAACGCTAAGAAAACTAATGCACAATGCTTAAGGCAAAGCAGGAATATCATCCCTGTCTCTGCCAGTCTCTAAAGTTTCCTTTCCATTCACCCCTGTCAGTCGAGCATTTAGCAGGGGCCAGGCAAGTTGCTAAGTGCAGGAGATGCCACGTTCCTTCTCGTCCCTCACCCCCCTCTGTGGGAAGCATAGCGTCCCCCACTCCAACCCCCACTCGCCAGAGGACAGCAAGAGCCAGGGAGGGTGAGCAGCGAACGCACCAGGCCTCTCTGGGCAGGGCTGCGCCCACCCTTCCTTTGACCTAGCAGTGCTACAAATTTAGTATTGAATGTTTTTTAAGTTCTCTCTAGTTTCTGACCTCCGACACCCATCCCCTCCAGTCCCTGGGTCCCAGTTCCTAGGACTGTCACGGATCCCAGCCTCTGCCTCTGTCCACTGCCCACCGGGCCCAACCAGGGAGGCCTGCTGTCCCTGACACGGGGCGGGGGGCAGGTCTGTTCCAGGAGAAGCCCCACAGTCTGCAGAACAACATCCGGACGTCCCTGGAGAAGAAGAAGAGAGGTTCAGGGGCGCCCTGGGCCAGCCGTCCTGAGGCCACCCTGCAGGGTGAGCGCCAGCAGTGGGGTGTCGGGAAATCCCCCTTGGTAGAGGGCGTGGGGACCCTGCACGGGGAGCAGATAGTTCATTCCTCACTCTCCTGCAAGAACGAGGGCCTGTGCTGCTGGGTCACTGTGGGGGGGCTGGATACAGGGGCGAACCTGGGGCCCTCACCCCCAACCCAGCAGCTCTCCTAGGCCAGGACAGTGGGCTCCCCCTGCAACCCCCCTCGCCGTGGGGTTGGCCACGCTGGGGGGCTGGGGCAGGGAGGGCACCCTGGGCCCTGGACACTGGTTTATCCCTGCTGGGGTCTCCACCCCAGGTAAGTTACTGGGACAAGTGTACTGTGGGAGTGAACCTTATCACTCCAGGGCATTGTCACCACCTCTGTCCTCACCGTGGTCATTCCCAGCACCAGCCCCACCATTCACACTGTGGCCCCCATCGATGGCATCACTGTCTTTAGTCCACCACTGGCACATATTCCTCCATCACTGTCATCCCCACTGTCCATGCTGCACCCCATCCTGGTGACCACCTCTCTCACTGTCACTGCTATGGGCCTGGTCCAATAGGGAGGGACAAGGACAGCATTTGGAGACAAGCCCATTGGGGTCAGGGCTCGGCTCCTGTGTCAACAGTGCCAAGGGTGGGCTGCTCCAGGCTCAGGAGAAGCCAGTCGAGTTGACTGTCCACCCCTTTCCTTTCCTCGCTTGTCCCTAGACTCCCTGGGCACTGTGTTCGTCTCCAGAGTGAAGAGTAAAGGCCACCCAGCTGTCTACAGGCTCTCCCTCAATGCCAGCCTGCCTGCCCCTTGGCAGGCCATGTCCCCCGGAGATGGAGAGGTGCCCTCTTTCCAGGTGAGCCTGGGCTGTCCTGAAGTGCACTGCCCCACTGGGGGAGGGGCCCTCAATGCCACACTGGTGGGCACTGCCACATAGGGAGGGAGTAGTGGGGTTCTTGCGGATGGGGCTGCTACCAGCAGATAAGGCCCCCACCCCACCCCGAGATCAGCCAGGTCTGTGGCCGGGACCTGCCGAGTGGTAACTGTGGGCTTCCAAGTCAGCCAGGCCTGGGTTTGAATCCGGACTCTGTCGTTTATAACCTGTATGTTCTTGGGCAGGTAACTCAATCTCTCTGAGCCTCAGTTTTCTCATTTATGAAATGAGGGCATAAAAAGTACCACCCGGCATCGGCAGGGGCACATGAGGTGAGGCCTGTGCAGTTCGGAACACCTGGGGGTCGCAAGTGCTCAGCAAGAGGGAGTCACTAGCTGGTCTTGTTCCTGGCAGCTGCACCTGCACCCCAGAGAGAGTCTCTTAAGAGCCAACCCAGACTTCCGCTTTTCTCCTCACAGGGGTCATCTGTGTTTCTTTGATGTTACACCCTCCAGAGTGACAATGACGTATGTCAGCTCCTTTGCTTGAGTTTCTATTTCCATTGGAAAGACGAGGTCTCTGAGGCTTTTCCTGACTCCGAGCCTTTGCATATGCTGTTCCCATTGCTTTGGAAGCTTCCGCGCAGCTTACTGTCTGGCCGACTCCTGAGTCCTCGTTCAGGTGTCAGCACAAACGGCCATCCCCGTTACCCCGTCCCAGCCGCCCTTCTTGCTGTGCCTTCTTCCTCCCTGCCGATTATGCCTTGCCTTGTCCTCCTAAGACGAGGGAGCCCTCGTAACTGCCTGCTCTAGGGGACAGGGACCCTGCCTGTCCTGCTGGCTGCTCTGCTCTGAGCCTGGCGCAGGGTCCGGCTCATGGCGGCTGCCCAGTGAGCAACTGTTGGAGGAAGAAGTGAGGCTCAGAGACGGAGGAAGGGATTTGCCCAAGTTCTGGACTCAAACCCAGGCCTCCTGAGCCTCTGCCCAGGGCTCTGTCCCCGACTTTGAGGGCTGGGACAGGGTGAAATACGCTGAGGATGGAGGGGACAGAGCCGGAGGCCGGGCCCAGGCCGAGGCAGCCCCCCCGAGTCACGTGTCTTGTCTCTGTCAACCCACTGCTTAGGTGTATAGAGCGCCTTTTGGTAACTTCACCAGGAAGCTGACCGCTTGTATGTCTACAGTAGGGCTGCTCCAGGCGGCGAGCCCCTCCCGCAAGTGGATGGTGACGACCTTGGCCTGTGACGCCAAGCGGGGCTGGAAGTTTGACTTCAGCTTCTACGTGGCGTCCAAGGAGCAGCAGCACACCCGGTAACAGCCTTGCAGCTAAGCCGGTTTGCGCCCACCCGGCCCGTTCGTTCCTCCTCTCTCTCGTCTGTCTTTCCATGTGAGAGATGCTAGCAGGCACCTGTAAGAAACCCCTGTCCATTTCCACACACCCGTTCAGACGCTCCTCTGCCCGGGGCTGGAGAGGGGACGTTGGCAAAGACAACGGGCCTGTGATCTGCTCCCCCAGCCCCATCACCGCTCCTCCTCTAGTGGCTCTGCAGGGCCACAGTGGCCGCCTTGCTGTTCCTCCAGCTCACCAGGCACCTTTGCAGTGGCTGTTCCCTCTGCCTGCAGTGCTCTTCCCCAGCCCCTCCCGTGGGTGGCTTCTCAACATACAGGTCTCTACCCAAATGTCACCTCCTGGGAGAGGCTCCCTGTCCTTCTAAAAGCACCATGCCCAGCCTCTCTCCACACGTCACCCCCTGCTCTCCTGGCGCCATTGTCACATGACATTGCGCTGGCCTGGGGTATTATGTGTCTTCCCTCAGGGCACATCACGTACCCACCCTATGGTGGCGCCTAGACCGCCTGGTTTGGTGCTGTGTCCCCCGCACCCAACAGGTGTCTGGCATGTAGCGGGTGCTCGGGAAGCACGTACCGAATGAATGGATGAGTGAATGAGTGCACGCTGCACTTCCTCTCCAAGGCACTGTCCACATCGTAAATGTATAATTAATTCAGAAAATATTTATTTAATCCCCCCCAACCGTACGGGGCGTGAGGAGTATTTGCCTGCCAGTGCCTGGCGCGGACTAAGCGCCCCCTGCGAGCGGAATGAGAGCTGCACTCTGCACGCACGGGGTCTCCGCGCCGGCAGGGCGCGTCTTTTCCCAGGTTTCGTCCCCTGTGGTCTGAGATGGCACCACATCCTTTTATCCATGGAGGCTGTATCAGCCAAGGGTCTCCCCTCGCATCCGTTCTCTGGTTTAACAAACCACGAGCACCAACTATGGGGCACTGTGCTAGGGCCAGGGACACTGGTGACAAAGACAGATATGACTCCTGCCCTCGGGCCATCTAGCAGGAGACAGACAGCTAACAAGTAAACAGCAGTGTCGTTACAAAAGATGCTGTGTGCTCTGAGAGAAACCACCCCGCCTCCGGGGTGGGGGAGCACGCAGAGCGGCCTGCACGGTGACACGGGACATGGTCTCTGACAGGGACTGGCTTCGGGGCCTTGAGCACCCGCACAGGGCCAAGCCCCACTTGGGGCAGAGGGTGCAGCTTGGAGGCAGGGGGACAACCAGGACGGCCCTCGCTGGGTCCTTTCCAGCCTGGCACCTGGAGTGCCAGGGATGAGGGTCCCTCTGCCTGCCCGCTCCTGCGCCCAGGGTGGGGCTCACTCTGCACATCCAGCAACCTGCTTGGATGAGCCTAAAACATTCTAGAAAGGACTTTGAGCTGCATTAGGTGCAGCGGTTAGCAGGCCGACTTTGGAACCCTTTCTCCAAACAACCTCAAGACTCCCTCACTGCTCAGGTTGAGGCAGGGCTGGGGCTTCTGAGTGGGGCCACTGAGGCTGGCCCTGGGCCCCTGAGCACTTGTACTCCCTGAGGGACAGCTTGAGAGCTGCTGTCCCCTCCGCCCCTCGTGCCACCTGTGAGGAGACAGAGGCCCAGGGAGGGGAGTGCCAGGCTCCTACATTCAGCCTAGAACAGCCCTCCAAACCCGCAGCCCCCAGCCTGAGGCCAACTCCCTGGTGGGGGTGGGCGTCAGGAGGGCAAGCCTGAGTCCAGCCCCTGCCCCGGTCACCTGGCCTTGTCTCCCCGACCTCTCCTGGCTCTTCTGGCCTCAGCCCGGCCTTCCTTGCCTCCGCAGGAAGCTGTACTTTGCTCAGTCCCACAAGCCCCCCTTCCACGGGCGCGTGTGCACGGCGCCTCCCGGCTGCCTGCTCAGCTCCAGCCCCGACGGGCCAACCAAAGGCTTCTTCTTCGTGCCCAGTGAGAAAGGTACTCGGGCACTCGGTGGGGCCCCGCAGCCCGGCCCTGCTTCCCTTACAGCTCTGACTCCCGCCCTGCAGCGCCCAAGGCCCGCCTCTCGGCCACCTTTGGCTTCAACCCCTGTGTGAACACGGGCTGCGGGAAGCCGGCTGTGCGGCCCCTGGTGGACACCGGGGCCATGGTCTTCGTGGTCTTCGGCATCGTCGGCATCAACCGCACTCTGCAGGTGGACAACCACGTCATCGGCGACCCGGTATGGGGGCCCCCCGAGGCAGGCTTACAAATAAGTGCCGGCCCTCGGGGCCCCCAGCCCGGCTCCTCACAACCCCACTTGGGCCCCTGGTGGCTCGTCCGCCCTAACAGGACCCCATGGGCTCCTGGGGGCACTTTTCTCTTGAGGACTGAGCAAGGTTGGCCTCTTAGAGTCGTCCAGGAATCTGCGTACATCTTTGGGCCCATGCTGGTGGCCCGTCTCCATGAAGGGCTGAGCGGAGAGAGGGAAATTGGGCAAGTGAACCTCCCTGTCCTCTCCCTTCGCCCTGGGTGATGGCAGCTCGAGCCAGGGCGTGGCGCCCTCCACTGTGAGGCTCCCTCCTCTTCCCATGCCCTGCACACGGCTATGCGGCTTTTGACAACAGAGAGGGGCCAGGCCGGGCTGGGCCGGGCCGGCCTGCAGCGGGTGCAGGGGTGCTGAGGATTGCGGTGGGAAGGATGGGTGGGCCCTGCCTTTAGAAGTCACAGTCCGGCGGGTTGCCAGGAATGACAGATGTGAAATAAGCTGGGAGCAAGGTGGAGGCAGAGGAGGTCTGTTCTGGCCAGGGTAGGGTTCTGCAGGTGTTCAGAGCAGGGGGCCAGGAGGCCAGTGGGGGGACAGGTAGGACATGGCTGTCTGGGAGGGAGGTGGGAACGAAGAAGTCCAGGTGAGAGTGTGCTGGGTGAGGGGAAAGGTGAGGCTAGGGGGTAGGGAAGAGTGGCATCAAGAGGGACCAGGCAGAGGGTTACAATGGGAGGGTAACAGTGGAGGCGGGGGGAGGCGGGATGGGGGACTGAGTCCCTGTCTCACTGAGTGGCCCGGGCCGGCCTGTGTCTCCTTGGGAAAGGGCAGCGTCGTCTACGACAGCAGCTTCGACCTCTTCAAGGAAATTGGGCACCTGTGCCGCCTCTGCAAGGCCATCGCAGGCAACTCGGAGCTAGTGAAGCCGGGCGGGGCGCAGTGCCTGCCCTCAGGTGCGGGGACAGACTGGGGAGGGCATGGGAGCCACAGTTCAGGGGTGGACAGCCTGAAGGACACATGCCTGGCCTGTGGGTGTCTGTGCTTGAGTGTGCCCACACCGGGTGTGGCGTGTGCTGGCAGTTAAGCGTGTTCCAGAGGAGAGCAGGCTGTGTGTGAGCAGGGGCTGGCGCGGAGGTGTGCGTGTGGGGGGTGGGGCACACCTACAGGAGTGGCTTTTCCAGAATTGGCCCACAGCTAACCTGGATGAGGCTGTGCCAGAGCTATCCCTAAAAGGGCCCAAAATGTAATTTCCACCGCAATGGCAAAGGTGTGCTGTGGGTTTCCCAGTGACGTTGCCAATGGTTTCAAACACTGTTTAAACCTTGAAGGCAGGTGAGTGCATGGGCTCTTCCAGGCCCCCACCCACCCTCTCACGCCCCTCTCTCGCTCCTCCCCGCAGGCTACAGCATCTCCTCCTTCCTGCAGATGCTGCACCCCGAGTGCAAGGAGCTGCCCGAGCCCAACCTGCTCCCAGGGCAGCTGTCCCACGGGGCGGTGGGCGTGAAGGAGGGCCGCGTGCAGTGGATCTCCATGGCCTTTGAGTCGGTGAGCCCCGGGCGGCTGCGTTAGGCACCTTGCCAAGTGCTTGCCTTGCAGTGTCACCTCTGATCCCTGGCCCTTGTCCCAGATCAGGGGACTGAGGCTTAGAGAGGTGGAATGACTTGCCCAAGGCCACATGGTTAGTGGGTGTCAGCAGCAGGGCTAAACCAGGCTGTCTGACTGCAGAGCTCTGCCCTTTCTGCCCCCCAGGCAGTGGCAAGCTCCCCTCTGCCCTTCCTGTCCCCTCTCCCCTTGCCTCCCCACCAACCCAGGTCCACATCATTTTACAGCCTCTAGGCCACTATAGGGGCTGTTGGGCATCCAGGATGTTCCCCTCTGCCACTGTGGGAGGCCAGAGTTGGCGCCATAGACCCTGGTGATGGGCCTCCCTCGGGTGGCCAGGGGACAGGCCATCCCACATACTTCCTTGCTGCCTATGTCACCCCTGGATATTGCCTGGGCTCGGCCCGAGGAGGCATGTGTGCACATGCACGTACACATACTCGCACCATGTGTGTGCCCCTGACCTGGGCACCCATGAGGCCGCAAGGCCCTAGCACGTGGCTCTCTGAGCCTTGGTACGTCTGTCCCTGCTGCCTCCACGCAGAGACCGGGGTCCACTCCTCGCTCTGATCCTGCTGTGCGGTGTCCTTGAGCAAATCACTCGTCCCCTCTGATCTCAAGTTCCCCATCTAAGAATAGCGTGGAAGACTCCCCCCCTCCTCGGGCAGGTGTGGAGATGGCACACACAGGCCTGGGGCTGAGAGCAACAGTGACTGGGTTACAGGTGGGAGGCGACTCTTCTCCTGCCCATCCCTGTCTTCCTTCCCGCCATCTGTGACACTCTCTGCACAAGCAAGGAAGCCACTGGCACCTGCCAGGAGGGCCTGGAGCCCTCGCGAGCCCCCAGGCTGATGCAGGCACCAGGTCAAAGCTGCAGACAGTTTTTTTAAAAGATTTTCTGGGAGATGAAGTAGTTCTGGTGGGAAGGGACAGGGACTTTGGTTGCATCTGAACCTGCTGCTGCTTAATGATCACAGGATGCCTCCAGAGTCTGCTGGGAGCTCGTTTTACATTGGGCCATCGTTCCCACCCTCGCCACACACACAGCACACTCTGTCGGTGGCCACAGAGCGGACTGGCCACGTCCCGGGAAGGGTGAGCAGGTCACAGTCCCTGCCTGCCTCACCAGCTCCTGTCCCCGCAGACCACGTACAAGGGCAAGTCCTCCTTCCAGACCTACTCGGACTACCTGCGCTGGGAGCGCTTCCTCCAGCAGCAGCTGCGGACCTTCCCCGAGGGCTCGGCGCTGCGCAGAGGCTTCCAGACCTGCGAGCACTGGAAGCAGATCTTCATGGAGATCGTAGGCACGCGCGGCCCTGCCCCCACCCCGGGCCCCAGGGGCTGAGGCACAGGGGACCTGGGGCAGGGAGGGCATTCGTGGCCTTTCTGAGTCATACTCCTGTCATCTTCTCAGTCCTGGCCAAGCCAGGCTGATGCGGTGGCCAGGACACTGATCAGAGGCCCGAGTCTGGGTCTCCTCCTGCTCATGGGCATCTGGCCGCATTCTCTCATCTTGATTCTGGCCCCTAAAAGGCAGCCCTCACGACCATTACAGCAGCTGCCAGTGACCGGCCCTGTGTAGGCTCCAGGCCTCCTGCTGAGGGCCTGCCCCGTGTCCGCTCTTAAATGCGGAACAGGCCTGGGGTGGGTCCTGTGGTCACCCCACCTCACAGGTGAAGACATGGGGCCCAGAGGGGCAGGGGCCCACACAGTGGCTGGCTGTGACTGCCCGCTGTGCAGCCACGCTGAGCCCGTCTCGCCTTGCAGGGGTGCAGAGCGCCCTGCACGGGCTGGCGCTGTCCCTGCTCATCTGCGTGGCCGCAGTGGCCGTGTTCACCACCCACATCCTGCTCCTGCTGCCCGTGCTCCTGAGCATCTTGGGTACGTGAGCAAGGGGTCAGCGGGTGCCAGGCTGGTAGGGGCAGGAGCACACAGCTGGTGGCCCCAAGTTAGCAAATTTCTCTGAACCCTTAACTGTCAAATCTTGGTGGAGGCTTCCTGGCCACCCACACCCCAGGCAAAAAGACCCTCTGCCCAGAGCCATGTGTCATAGTGGCTCCTGGGACTGTCTCCCCCACAGTCTGTGCTCCCCAGGCAGCGCTGGTGTCCCCAGGTGGCAGCTTTCATCCCAGTGACTTGTTGCTGCACCTGTCCCCTCCCTGCCCCCCCCCTCTGGTCCTGGCTCTCCCCCTCCCTCCTGTTACCTGGTGTCAGGGTAGACTCTCCGCCTCCCCGCTCCGCACGGGCCCTCCAGGGCTGTGCTGCGGGGAAGGGGGCGTCCAAGCTGCCTTCGCCACCAACTGTCTCGCAGGCATCGTCTGCCTCGTGGTGACCATCATGTACTGGAGCGGCTGGGAGATGGGCGCTGTGGAAGCCATCTCCCTGTCTATCCTTGTCGGCTCCTCTGTGGATTACTGCGTCCACCTGGTCGAAGGCTACCTGCTGGCCGGAGAGAACCTGCCTCCCCACCAGGCTGAGGTGAGCACCTGCCTGCCTTGCCCCCCCTCAGCAGATCCTCCACCTCAGCACAGCCGGGGGACCCCCAAGGACAGCTGGACACCCCCAGCCCAGTACTAGACCCCTGAGCAGGCTGTGGTCTGGGAACTGGGTTCCCAGGCTGGTCCACAAGCCCCAGGGACTCAGATTCTAGCTGGGTAGGTCCTCGCCCCCCAGCCTCAGTCTCCCCACTGAGGAGAGCAGTGAGGGGACTGGGCCAGATGGAGGATGTCCAAGGCCCTTCCTGCTTCACCTTTCCCGGGGTCCAGCCGTGACCCTCCAGCCCCCTGACCCTCCAGCTTGGTGAGGACATGTTCATGAACTCAGTACCAAAACCAGCTCTGGGCTGGCAAAGGGCTTCCCTTAGTTCAGAGTTGTGTCGGTGTGAAAACTTTCACAGATATGTGAAGATTAAGTCTGTTACACCTGTAACCGCCTTTGGTCAAGAGAAAGCAGTTCCCAGCAGGGCCCCCATTTAGGAAGACCTACTGTGTGATTGCCCAGCGTCCCGTCACCATAGCAACATGCGCCATGTGCTGCAGGGGGGCGCCATGTGCTCCCCAGCCCCGAGGGTCCCCAGCGCTGGCTCTCCACCCAGGACGCGCGGGCGCAGCGCCAGTGGCGCACGCTGGAGGCCGTGAGACACGTGGGCGTGGCCATCGTGTCCAGCGCACTCACCACGGTCATCGCCACGGTGCCGCTGTTCTTCTGCATCATCGCCCCGTTTGCCAAGTTCGGCAAGATCGTGGCGCTCAACACGGGCGTGTCCATCCTCTACACGCTGACCGTCAGCACCGCGCTGCTGGGCATCATGGGGCCTGGCTCCTTCACTCGGACCAGGACTTCCTTCCTCAAGGCCCTGGGCGCCGTGCTGCTGGCGGGGGCCCTGGGGCTGGGCGCCTGCCTCCTGCTTCTCCGGAGCGGCTACAAGATCCCGCTGCCCACCGGGACTGCCCTATAGCCGGGCCTGGCCCCTGACTCGAGTACCTTTGGCCCAGGGTGGGGGACAGGACACCCCCTCTTTACTGCAGGGGTGCTGTTCCCCAGCTCGGCTCCAGCTAGCCATGTTCCCAGGCCTGGGCCCAAGGCACCCTGTGGCCCCTCATGGGAGCTGCCACCCACTCCCACACTGTGGGGACCACACTGCATTCCCTGCCGCGGAGCCAGAGCTGGGAGGTGGAGCCATGGCCCTGTCTGTCCCCCTGAAGAGACCTCCCCTCCACCTGTGCCCGGTCACCGTGAAGGCCAGGTGGCTTTTGTAGGGGCTGTCCTTGTCACATTGCCTCAGTGCTCACAACCTTCTGGTGTGGATGTTATAGGCGCCCATTCTACAGATGTGAAGATGGAGGCACCAACAGGCAAAGTGCGCTGTAGCTGGGCTGTGGCAGAGCCAGCGCTGTCTCCTGAGCCTCATGCGCTTGGGGCCTTGCAGGAAGAGCACGGTGGACTCTGGGCAGGGCCTCACCCCTGCCCCTCCTCTGCTCCCTTCAACTTGGGAGAGGCCAGTGCTGAGTGGCCCAGTGGCCCTCCCCAAGCCTTTCACTCCTGGCGGAGAGGACAGAGGGACCGGGCTTGGGCTTCTGCATGTCCTACCCCCAGCACCAGCCTCAAGGGGTCCCTCTGAGGCCCTCCCTGGGGGCTGTGGGGCCCAGCACAGCTCTCCCCACAGATCCAAGCCCCCAGCTCCCCACCCAACGCTGGGAGAGACTGTTTTGGGGGTGGACCCTGTGGGGAGCTGTTCGTGCCTGCAGCCTGCTCGTGGCAGAGGTTTCCTATTAAAGAGAAATGAAACCTCAGACCGCTGCTGTTAACATGCGGGTTTTAAGCACTGCTGCCTGTCTTATTCCTAAAATTGAAGCAATTATTTGCAAGCTGCCCAGTTGGTACCCGGCACAAGGGTGGGGCTGGCTTTGGAAGGAGATGGGGCTGGGTGAGAGGGTGCCTGACCTTCCTGGGAACGAGGTCACGGGTGTTCTGGGAGCCTGGAGTGAGGCTGGGGGCCTCCCCCTGGGAGGCAGGATGATGAAAGATGCTTCTTTCCTTAATGGGCTCCTCTGGCTCCAAGTTGCGACACTTTGAGCACCTCTGAGATGTCTGGCATTGTGTTGGGCACAGACCTTTTTTCTTGGGGACAGACATTGCCCCCTGGGCTTTATGGAGCTGGACACAGACCGAGCTGGAACTATCCCTGAGGGTGGGAAAGAAATCAAGTCTCCAGGCCACTTACCTGGTCATCTGTAAATATCAACTGGAGGCTGCGGGTGCAAGACAGACGGGCGTCATTTATCCCCTGCCCTGTCTGTCGAGGGAGTGTCAGCCCCTTGGGCCCACCATCAGGGTGAAGGAGGACATCAGAGAAGCAGTTAGTGACACGAGCTGGCACAGCACTGACCGTGCTAGGCGCTCTCCTCAAGGTCTGTGTTAGCGTCCTGGGCTGTCATAACAAAGTGCCACATGACGTGTGGCTTCAAGTTTATTCCCCTGCAGTTCAAGAGGCTGGAAGTTCAAGGTGTTGGCAGGGCGGGTTGCTCCTGCAGGCTCTGAAGAAGGGTGCGTCCCAGGTTTTTCTCCTACAGCGCCGGCTGGCTGCCAGCACGCACACTGGGTGTCCCCCAGCGCGTGGGTGCAGCACACCGGTCTCCACCTGTCTTTATGTGGCCTTCTTTTCTCTTTGTTTATGTCATCTTCCTTCACACGAGGGATGCCAGTCACATTGGATTAGGCCCCACCCTGAGCATCTTAACTTGATCACCTGCAGAAACCCTATTTCCAAATAAGTTCACAGGTACCAGGGACACAGTCCCTCCCCCAGCTCGGCATGTATCAGCTCATTCGTCACCCTTGGGCAGCAGGTGCCAGCACCCAATTCACACGGGCAGCCAGGGACCTGAGAGATTGACTTTCCTGGGCCATGCAGCTAGTGAGCCAGCTGGCCTGTCCCCGGGTGTCCTCAGCCACTAAGGTGCACAGCCTCTCGTGACAGTTGGAAGAAAGCCTGATGACAGCTACAGGGATTCCCAGGGTTGGTCACATGAAAAGCCTATTCTTGGAAAATCCAGAGTGAAACCCTGTGTTTGATGGTAATTCATACTTATGCATTTTCCCATCAGCCCTCTGTGAAGCCTGCGCCCCAGAGGCCCAGCTGAGAGTGCCATGGCGGCGGCAGGGTCATGCCCGCAGCACACAGCCCAAAGGGGTGGATCAGGGGCTCCACAGGGCTCTGGCCCTGGACCCTCCGGCAGCCCCCACGTGGGCAAGGCCACATCTTCAGGGCCGATCCTCTTCCCAAGGACTGGTGCAGACTTATGGGATGTGGCCAGGGCGAGGAGGTGGGGAAGGGGAGGGGGCTGACAAATTGACAGGACACCCCAGAAGTGCTTAGAGAGAGGACCTACCTCTGCAAGTCCTTGTCCCGAGACCTTCCCAGTAACCTAATTTTAATGCGGAGGTGGGATTATTTGCATATCATTTGCATACACTGCAAATAATGCCCATTTGTAAAAAAATCCTCATGAACCCCATTCCCCTGCTTTGAAGGAACAGCTCCTCTTCCCTTCCCTGGGCCTCTCTTTCCAGGGTTTTGTGGGGTGTTGGGCTGGCATGTCGGGTGGAAGGGGCCAGGCTGTGTCACTGTCACCTCCCCCCAAGGTGGCCAGGGCTCCCACATGTGTACAGCTCTGACGTGACCCTCCTAACTCCGGTGAGTGGGGTTCCCATTTCACAGATAAGCACACTGAGGCCCAGAGAGGGGAAGGGAAGTGCACACAGCACACTGCCAGGCAGCTTCTGACCAGGGTCCTGCTCCCTCTGGCTTCTGGCCAGGCTCGTGTGGGTGGCATCCTTGACTTCAGATCTGCCCCCCCTCACCAAAACCGACCTATCTTGTTCCTCAAGGCTCTGCGTGGTGACTGATCTATCTCCCTTTCAGGGGCAGGGCTGGGGCAAGAATACGGGTGACCATTTGGGAGCTTCAGGGAATTTGGGCCACACAGCCGCCTGCTTGCCTACAAATAAACACCCCTTCATCTTGTTTGTGAACGCTGGCGCCACAGCGTCCCAGAGATACTAACTCCCATGAAAAGAACCTTGACCTTCCTTTGCTGCTGATGCAGAACTCAAGTCTTAATGAGCTTTGCTAGCACTAATGAGATGCTCTTCGTTAGCTCTGGTGCAGTGGTTAGCCTGGGGTCTTTGGTACAGGGTTTCTCGTACCAAGGTGGCAGAGGGCACAAGGGGAGAGGGACCCCCATCACCTGCCGAGGTTCCCTGAGGCCCTGCTGCTCTCTTCCTTCCCTTGGGGACCAGGAGCTGTCACGAAAGCCAGGCTTTATGGAGTGCCTGCCTTGCCCAGGTCTACCCGTAAGTTTTCAGGACTCAGCAGCGTTCCTTGGAGGGGCGCCTTCCCCTGTTCCACGACGCAGAAACAAGCCCAGGACAGGAGCTGTGTGCACGTCCACCGCCCTCGCTGACAAAGAGGACAGGGCTGTGCCCACCCCCATGTCTGCCAAGGCAGCTGAACTTTATCCCGAAGGTGATGGGATACAATGAAGGGCTCCAAAAGCAGGAGACCTGTTACGCCTGTGCAATTGGTGAGGATCTAAAAGCTTGATGCCCGGCTCGGAAACAGCCGTCCTGCGCCATCATTGCTGGGGGGCGTGCAGACTGCTTCGGCCACAGTGGAGGGTAATTTGGCAGGAACTGTCAAAGTTGCAATCACATGCTCCTTTTGATTCAACAATCCCGCTTCTGAGAATTTGTCCTGCAGATGAACTCACACTGGCCAAGCGTGGAAGTTACTCACTGGAGACTTGTGAGCTATGGCAAGGGGCTGTGAACCCCAAAACTTCCATCAGCACAGGACAGACAAAATGAATTACGGTCAGTCCGTTCAAACAGGAGGATTCTCTGCAACTGCAAGAAACAAATGAGGAAGTGCTCTGGGTGCCAATGTGGAAAAAGCACCAAGATATATTAAATGGGGAGAGAAAAGTTGCAAGATAGCGTGTAAAAAAGTGGGCAGATGAGAATATAGACTCATTTTTGCTTGCATTTGCATAAAGAAATTCTGAAGAAAACACAAAAACTAAAACGGTTACCTGGGGTGCAGGGGCTAGGTGGATGGCAGAGAGCAATGGGAGGAAGGTTTTGTTACAAATCTTCACACTCTTGGATTTTTTGACTGCCAGAATGTGTCACTGAGATGATTTTTGTAAACAGGGGAGAGGTGGGGCTGTCATTTGCTCCTGAGAAAGCTCACTCTGGCTGCAGGGCAGAGGGTAGAGGGGAGGCAGGGAGAGCAGTGAGGAAGGAGAAAAGGGGTGCACCACCCCCAGGCCATCCGCAAACATCAGCTCTGACTTGCTTGGCACCGAAGGCACTGCCAGGGGCTGTTGGGGCCAGCGCAGTCACCCCACCTGCTTTCCCTGAGCAAGGACGTAGGACCTCTCTGCCCTGGAGCCAGAGTCCCAGTCAGAACCTTGGAAGTACCAGGAGGGCCCCATTGCCTGACGCTGCTCCCTCCCGCCTTGCAGCTGGGCAGGCAGAGGTGATGTTTGGGAGGGGGCCTCGCAGGGTAACAACAGCTCAGGCAGGGACTGAGCTGCACGGCCATCCTGCTGTGCTGTCACCTGCTGGGCGGTCACATCCTTGCCCTGCCTCCGTGAACTGGGAGGATGTGGGCAAGTCACATACTCTACCTCAACCTGTTTGCTCACCCATTAAATAGAGAAACACCCATCGAGCATGGTCACTGTGTTTTATGAGAGGGTGTTTGTCAAGCACTTAGGATCAGATACCTGGTATGCCACCATCACTGTCACCAGCCTCGTTATCAAACAGATTTCTCCCAACTGCGGAGAGCAGTTATGCACTTGGCGTTGCAAAGCACTCCAGTGGATGGGAACTGTTCTCTCCCCTGAGAGTCCCTCTCTAGCTGGGAGTGAAATACGCTTTCTTGTCCTATTGATGTTGGGCCTGGCCGTGTGACTTCTGTTGTCCATTGGATGTCGGGAAGCAGAGGCTTGAAATGTGCCCGTGTAAGGGGACCTGCCCCCTGTGCTCCTGCCCTCCCTGGGAAGAATGCGCCCCAGCGAGCCGCGGGTTCCAGGGGGCTGAGAGACGCGTGGAACTGACTTGAGCCCGTCTGTGGCCTAGAGCCAAGCCCGTTGGTCCTAGAATGGATGAGCCGACCCCAGCTGATGCCAACAAGTGATCATTGTTTAAAGCCGTTGAGTTTGGAGAGGTTCGTCGCGCGGCGTTTTGCAGCAATAGTGGATGAAGCGCTATCTGTGAGCTCCAGAATTGAGTTGAAGTTTCTTAATACGGCCTTCAAGGCCCTCTAGGGCCTCACTGGCAGCTTCTCCGTTGGTGTCTCACACTGCTGCCTCCACTTGGCACAAGCGTTGGCCAAACCGAAATCCCTCCCCAGGGCGGGCTGTGCAGCTCAGCTCCAGCCTGGAGTGGGCTGCTCTCCCGCCTGAGCATTCCTGCCGCACCTGCTGCCCCCTCCTGCGCCTCCTTCGCCTTAAGGACTCTGCTCCCTCCAGGAAGCCCTCCCTGCTGCCCAAGTCTGGGTTAGTCGTCCTGGGATGTGACACACAGCACTTTGTCATTCCTTTGCCCTGTGTGAATGACTTGCTACTCAGCTCTCTCCCCCGACTAGGGGAGAAGACACGAACGCTCTACGACTTCCCCAGTTCCTTTGACTGGACACATGTTCTACCCTTGCAAGCTTCAGTCTACCTACCTACAAAGTTGGAGTGATCTCATCAGAACTGGGCACAGCACTGCCTTTGCCTTGCTTGGTGCCTCACAACTTTGCAAGGC